GACCTCTTTTTTTTTTTTTTTGTAAATTCTACATCGAAAAAAATATTAGATCTATTGTAATTTTTTAATTTTTAAAAACTATTATTAGGGCCTATTTTGTTGTTGTTATTGTTGTTGTTATTATTATTATTATTATTATTATATTTGTTATTACTGTTGTTGTTTTTACTATTATTACACGTCTGTATTAAAATTGTTTTCATCATTATTGCTGTTGTTATTTTATCATTAGTATTTTTATTATTACATTATTATTTATTATTATTATGATTAACTCATCAGTAAATAATAATAATAGTAATAATAGCTCGTCCGTCAATGTTTTACGATAACCAATACACTGGCGCTCATATGGTTTTATGCCTTATGCAGTTGCGAGCGCCGTAAAACCTCTACTAGAACTAAAACTAACCAATACATCCGCAGAGGAGAATATTTCTCAGACAAAAAAAAGAATAATTTTTAGAATTCAAGGTTGTGATGACGATTCACAAACTAAAACAGGAGAGAAAAAAGGAGGGAGGGCGTTGGGGGATGGGGGGTTCTGGGTTTTTCTCAACAGCTGTTGCTAAAATAAATAAGTAACCATGGTGCATTCGGGAAACCCCTATACTATAGATGAGCGCGGCGTCTTTATAAACTGATAAACTGTTGCAAAAATTTTTTAATAAGTAACGATGGTGCTATCGGGAAACCCCGGTGAGGGCGAGCGGAGTGCTTATATAAACTGTCGCTGGCAGCATCACTTGGCCGGCGTTGCTATGGGGATACTTCGAGCTAAATGAGCATTCTCCTCTCACGGGAAAACAGAGGGTTCGACCAGAGACACTAAAATATAGAGACAGGAAACGAGGCCTCGCGGTCCGTGGCAACAGTGCATTTGCGAACGTGACCGCTGAGACGCGAGCTAAAAATAACCAGGCGCGGTATCGACAGCGAAGCGCGTCTCGTCTAGCGGGGCCTAGGCCTAGCTTTCTGCGGCTTAGGCCTAGCGCAATCAGAGAACTGGCCAAGGTTGCATTTGTAAACACTGCCTCTACAATCTATACTCTTCTGGTCTACAGAAAAGGTTACACATGTTGATGAAAACAGGACAACAGATTTTAAAATTGAATTCTAGATCTAGGCCAAGTTATAAAATAGGCCTAATGTCGATCTGGCATAAAACCAAAACATGTCTTGATAATGTAGACCGAAAACGAGATCTAGAATCTACATCTAGAATCTACATCTAGATTATCTAGATCTAGATCTAGATCTAGATTCAAGATCTAGAGATCTAATTATCTAGTCGACAGTGTCAGTAGTTACATAAGAAAAAAAGTCATCTGGACTCTAGATCTAGATTCTAGATCTATAGGTTTCCAGCATAATAAAAATATGCCTGCCTTAGCCTAAATACACGCGTTGATCTAGATATCTAGCCTACAACATAAGCAGTTTAATTTAAGATAGCCTAATAAAGGTTAATACATTTTTACTTATTTTACTAATTAGTTACATAGCCCTGCATGGGGTCTGTGGGTAGGGAAGAGTTGGAGAGGAAAGAAAGAGAGCATGCAATAGCATATAGATCTATGCCTATAGGCAGTGATGAGAAAAGGCAACAGACTAGAAATAGAAAACAGATTTAGTTTTGTGTAGCCTACGCTAGGCATATATGGATAAAAACAGGAATACAAAGTGACAGATCGAACTCACTAGAGGCCTATATATATATATATATATATATATATATATATATATATATATATATATATATATATATATATATATATATATATATATATATATATATATATATATATATATGTGTGTGTGTGTGTGTGTGTGTGTGTGTGTGTGTGTGTGTGTGTGTGTGTATATACATAAACATGTATAATGCATCTTTCGTGGATTAATAGCACTTTACTGAAACTGGCTCTTACAATTAAGTGGGTGGATGTGACAGTCTTTCTTAGACTGTTTTGCTGTATGCATTGTCTCTTGCTGATTCTTTTGTATATTATGTCCATACTTCTCTGTCAGGCACATACATTTGGGACATTACAAAATTCAAGGGTGGTCCTGACAGGGTCAAACTAGCACTTTCTTACTTAATAATAATTAAGTAAGCTTTGTAATTTCTTTGTCTCTTTAATTTTGTTACATTATTCCGTAGTACATTTATTACAGCAGGGCATTGTCTTCTTAGATGTCAAGTTTTTTTTTCCCTTCCACTTTTAATTTCTTCTTCAAAACTCTCACACCACATTGCAGACACTATTAGAGCTTGAATTTAAAAAAAAAATTAAATACTAAATATGTTTCACTACTCTATCTAGTCAGTTCTGCAGAGGTGGAGTCAAAGCGCCACATAGCCTACAGAATCAGATGCAGTCTCAGGTCTACAGTGTGAGTGAGCGTGTGTGTGTGTGTGTGTGTGTGTGTGTGTGTGTGTGTGTGTGTGTATGTGTGTGTGTGTGTTGGGGGTCCCCCCCCCCAAATCAATATGAAGGCGATGATAATGTAATTTTTAACTTTTTAAAAATGGAACTATCAATCTCAAAATGAAGAAGAAGTAAAGGGCACCTCAGCGCTGAGATATCCCCCATAAATTCTCTCAGATCTC